AATCACATTTTCAATTTCAATGGCTGACATTAGGTTATTTAGAATTTTAATATGTTCTTGTTGCAGCTTTGATAATTCATATATATCTAAGAATCTGTCCATTTATTCTGTGTTTTCCATCTTATTAGAGTAATAGTTCTCAAAGTTTTGATGATCTTTCGGATTTCTACAGGATCTGTTGTGATTCTTCATTCCTAATTGCATAAGTTGGAGCCTTTTCCTCCCTTTTCTTGATGTTTGGCTAAGGGTTTATCAATTTTTTCATAGAACCAATTCTTCGATTCATGGATTATTTATATTGTTTTCTTAGTCTCAATTGTGGTAACTTCTGCTCTGATCCTTATAGTTTCCTCCTGGTATGAGCTTGGACATGACTGGTTTTTCTTTTTCTAAAAGCTTGACGTTTAACATTAGGTTATTTATTTAAGCTTGTTCTGTTTTCCTGATTCACTGCTATAAATTTCCCTCTTAGGACTGCTTTCATTGCAACCCATATGTTGTAATACATTGTGTCAGTATTACCATTTAATGGTAGATACTGTTTAATTTCTCATTTAATTTCATGTGTAACCCATTGGTTATTCAGAAGGGTGCTACTTAATTTCCATGTGTTTATGGAGTTTTTGGTGTTTCTTTTGCCATTGATTTCCAGTATCATTGCACTATGGTAAGATAATGTGCAAGGGAGATTTCAATTCCTTTGCATTTACCTAAGCATGTTCTATGATCTGTGATCTATCTTGGTGACTCCCATGTGCAGCTGAGAAGAATGTGTATATTCTAAAGTTTTGGGTTAGAACATTCTGCAGCCATCTACTAAGTCCATTTGTTCACAAATTTGGTTCAGTTCTGAAATTTCTTTGTTGATTGTTCTATTTGTTTATATATGATAGTGGGGTATTAAGGTCCCCCATTATAATTGTGATTATTAGATTTTTCATGTCCATTAATATTTGTTTTATATAATCGGGTGTACCAATATTTGGTGCATATATATTTATAGTGGTTATGTACTCTTCTTGAAGTATTTCTTTAACAAGTATGCAGTATCCTTCTTTGTCTCTTTGGATAAGTATTGGCTTGAAGTTCACATTGGCTGCAAATAAAATAGCTACCCCTGCTTTTTTCTGGATTCCTGTCCCATGGACCATTATTTTCAATCCTTTGACTTTCAGTCTATGAATTTCTTTTTGAGTTAAATTGTGTGTCTTGTATGCAGCATATTGTTGGATCTTGTTTCCTAATCCATTCTGCCGGTCTATTTCTTTTGATTGCTGAATTGAGACCATATACATTAATGGTTATAGCTGATATGCATTGGGTTATCCTTATCATACTGTTTTCCTGCTGTTAGTTCCCTGTCTGTCCTGTTTGTTTAATTGCTTGCCTGGCTTGGTGGCTTCCCTCTATTGGTGTTCTTGGAATTGTGATTTTCATTTTCTCTTTGTAAACTGCCCTTCAGAACACTTTGTAGGGCTGGTTTGTTGGTTATGAATTTCTTCAGTTGTTCTTTGCAATGGAAGTATTTTATTTCTCCATTGATTTTGAAAGATAGTTTGGTGGCATACATTAATCTCGGTTGGAGGTTGTTTTCTTTTAGGGCTCTAAATACTTCACTCCAGGCTCTCCTTGCCTTAAGTGTTTAGTTTGAGAAGTCTGCTGTGATTCTGATGGGCTTTCCTTTATTGGCTATCTGTTTCTTTTCACTAACAGCTTTTAATATTCTGTTCTTGAGCTGAATTTCTGGAATCTTGATTATTATGTGCCTTGGTGTGGATTTATTTTGATCATAGCTATTTACGTTCTATTTGCCTCACGTATTTGTATATCAAATTCTTTTTTCAAGTTTGGGAAGTTTGCTGCCATTATTTCTTTAAACAGCTTTTGGATGACGTTTGTATTGTTTCTGGCATTCTCACTGATGCTGATCAATCTTATATTATTTTTCTTTGCATCGTCCTGCAATTGTTGGATTGATTTTTCACGGTTTCTTGATATTTTTAAGAAATCTTTCTTTTCATGGTCAGTAGCCGCAGTCTTGTCTTCTAGATCTGAAATTGTATCTCATCTTGGTTCAAACGATTAGCAATACTTTCTATGGAGTTTTTAATCTCCTGGATATCTGTTTGAATCTATTTCATGGATTCCATTTTTTCCTATGTTGGGCATTCATGGTTTCAATCATTTTCCTAAGCTCCTCTATTTTTGTTTTTATCTGTGTTTACTCTAGCTTCATTGAACATGTCCTTCACTTTAATTGTCATTTCTTTTTTTACCTAAAAGATTATTTTCTGTATAGCCTCATTTATTTGCTTTTTTGTCTCTGTAGCAATCAATTCAGAAAGTACCAGCAGGTGGCTTCCAGTTTCCTCTATCTCATTGTCCTCTGGATTTATCCTTGGTGCGCTGGAGGTCTGAGGTTTCATTTTGCTTCTGCGTCTTGTCATTTTCTAGTTTCTTATTTTATTTTGTTTTCTGAGTTATTGTTTGCAGATTTCTTATGGTAGATAGCTTTGTCACTTATATTGAGGTTTCTCTAGAAAATGTCTATTTCTCAGAGATGTCTTCTCAGTATAAGTGCTTCTTGGTTTTTGTGTCTATCCCAAGATCCTACCTTCCCAATTTGTTAAGGATGCAAGGTTGCTATCTACCTAGCTCAGCACCCAGTCCTTTGGTACTGGACTATGCTGATGGTTGTGACCCCAGACAATCACAGTGTTGTCATATAAGGGAGAGCAACAGGTATGAAATCCTGGCTAAAGTAATACAGTTAGCAATAGCAATAACATCAAGCACAACCTAGCAACTAACAAACTGTGGCAATTGTTAGTTTGGTACCTTTAACCACACAAGCAAACTCTACCATTATAGAACAAAATCCAACATAAACCAGGCACTTGTATGCAATGCGTTTCCCCTTAGTAGAGCGATTATACCCTGTTGGGGGGAAATTTAAAAGGGTAAGGGAAAAAACGGAGAGATAAGTAAAAAAGAAATATAGTAGAAGCAAGCCTAGAGGGCACAGGATGAACACCTAAGCTTTTGGAGATTGGAGAAAAGAGAAGAAAAGGAGTGAAGGAGAAAGCAAAAGAATATTGAGGTGAACCAGAAAGACAAGAGATGTGAAAATATCATAAAATCAAGAGAGATAGTTGGGGAAAGAGAGGAAGAGGACAAAGAAAATAGAACAAAATTTAAGGTAAAAAAACTTAAACTTAAACAACCACACACACACACACACACACACACACACACACACTCGCACACAGAAAAACCAAAACAAACAAACAAAGAAAAAGTCAACCAGACAGATAGCAGAAAGCAAATCAAGCAAACAAAGAATAAGGAAATTGATAAAATTCCTCTGGTATTCACAGCTCTCTTAGTGTCCCCGACAGAGCCTGACAGAGCCTGAGATTGTGCTGTGTAACCCTTCCAAGACTGCAGTTAAGTGATGAGTATGGGGCTGATTTTGGTCTCCACCTGTGGGACCTGTAGCAGTTCTTCAGTGAGCAACTTTTGCTGGGGCGGCTTACACATCTCCGAAGCCATTTCCCCACTGTTTTCTTAGCTGCTTTGGCACCCTCCAGTGCAGCCCGCCCAAAGTTGCTTCCAGGTCGGTGCACAGTCCCCCTGGGACCCCACGGCTTCCTCAATTCCACTCTGCTGACATTTTCACTGGTCTGGGGGAGAGGCACCCTTGTCCTGAGGCTGGCTAAGGCTGCTTGCCTACTTGGGCTGCCTGTCGCAGGGCGGGGCTGGAGTGTCCCCTTCCTGTTGCAGGTGAAAGCCCTTGCCCTCTGTGCCTTTGATCACAGAGCAGGGCTGGAGCCTCTAGTCCTTAGTGGCTTGGGATAATCCGGGTAGTCCCAGTCCCAGCTTCTCAGAAGCATTTCTCTCAATCTGCTGTCCAGCTGCCTGCAGTTTACTGTGAGGGAGCTCTTCCCTCTTGCATGCTGGGGCATTGGCAATGAAGTGGCCATGGGGCTATTTGGAGTGCAAGCTCCCTGTGCTTTCTGAAATAAGATGAAGATCCCTGCCCGCTTTGCTCTGTGTGTGGGGACTCTGTTCCCCCTCACTCACCAGTTGTTGACTCTGGGAGAACTCTGGGGAAGTTGACATTTGGGAAGCAATGTCTCCTGTTCTCACTGCTGTCTCCAATTACATAAAATATTTCTGATCCAAGTCCCGTCTTTCACAGTGTACTGCAAAATTCTTTTCGCTGCCTACCCGCTATGGTGTGGTCTCCATCTGCATTGGTGAGCTATTTCTTCTGTAGTAATGGATCCTATTTTCTTCTTCTCCTCTGTCAGTTCCCTCCTGGTTGTGTGTGCCCTCTCAGGACACAGACTCTGAGCATTTTGTCTTGGAGAAGCTGTTGCTGGCACTCACTGCTCTACCATTTTGCCTCCCTCCATGACCAAAGTCTTGAAGATATGATATAATCTATATACCATTCACTACTTTAATACATAAACCTACTTTTATAACTTTTTGTTGTGTCCAAATAAGACAGAGCATTGCTTGTAGTTCAAATACTCATTCATTACCATTTCAAATTATACCCGATATACTTTGACAATACTTCACTGGGGTTATAATAGAGAATCAATCCTCATTTTAGGTGGTTTGGTACAATATCACTGGTACCTGAGCATGTAAACAACAAATAATAATGTATACTTTGGAGATAAATCAGTATTTGAATTTTTAGATGTCAGAGTAGGTTCAGCGTCTCAGGCAATGATTATGTGCTATCCTTTTGATAAAAGATAACGCTACCTGACCCATTATTTAAAATACACATATTTTGATACATTGTTCCAGTAATTGACATGGATCATTACCATAGATTATACCATTCATGCCAATTGTCTGGTCCTCTTGTGACTAATAATCTACATACCTAAGATTTGAGTTGAGATTTAATAAAAAACCTATTACAGAACAGACCCCTTGGTTTATCCAGTGACTGAAACTGAGAAGTTAAAAATTCATACCTGTCCATCCGTCCCAATGGTGCCCCCACAGTCAGCCAGGAGCTCTGACATGTCATAGTAGCTGACAAACTCCCACAGACAGGCCTCCAGGTTCAGGTTCCGGTAGAAGCGTAAGGTGCTGGAGCCTCTGAGAGGTGCACTGTACTGGTAAGGATACATTTCTCCAATGACCTCTGGATTTTTTGTAGCATCAGTCAAGAAGCCATGGTGGGTCTTCACTTCCGTATAATCCAGAAGGTTGGAGCACTTGTGGTTTCCCACCCTTGTGCCATCAGGGCTGAGGGTCAGCTCAAAGTTGGAGAGTTCCCTGGTGGAGATGACAGGAAGCATGCCTACGGGGAAGCACAATCACCAAGTTTGTCTTACTGAGTCTGGGCACATGTTAGACTTACTTAGTTTTTGTGAATGCTTACGTGGTCAGACTTTTCAAAAGTGGGTAGAAAGAAGGCAGAAAGAATTGAAATAAGTAGAGAGACATGGTGCTCAAGTTGTAAACTGAGCATGTATTAGACTTCGTAATTTAGGGTCCTAAACTTTTCTATGGACTTGCTTACCCCCGTCACTTACCATCTATGTGTGGCATGATGACAGTGAGCTTGATGAAGTTTGGGTATTCTGGGTCCCGTGGGCCTGTGTAGCGTAATTTAGCTGAGAATGGCTCGGCACCCACTACCCCGGGCACTCGGGGCTGACAGAGACCTCAAAGAAAATGGACACATTTAAGCAAAAGAAGGTAACAGGTGACACCAAAAGAATATTTAAAAATTGGTGCTACAATCATTCTAGTTCTATATACTTTATTTATTTATTTATTTATTTATTTTTGGTGCTGGGAATTGAATTCAGGACCTTGCGCTTGCAAGGCACGCTGCAGAACCACTAAGCTAAATCCCCAGCCCCTATATACTTTAAAATTCCTTGTGGACTAAGGCATGGTTTAGAAAGTGTATCATAAGGAAGCAGAAGACCATGGCAGGGGGTCATTGCAGTTCACATTCTAGAAGCCTCTTAGCATTTTAGAGATTTAAGAATGTTTGATGGATGTCATGGCACACTTCTGTAAGGAGGTTGTAAATTCAAGCCTTGTGCAATTAAAACATTTAGCAAGACCCTGTCTGAAAAATAAAAAGTGTAAGACAAAACAAAAAAAAACCTGGAGGATATTGCTCATTATGAAGGCCCTGGGTTCAATTCCCAGTACTGAAAAAGAAAATTGGAAAAAAGACAGTTATTGTTTAATATGATTTAATATGTGCTGGTCATTTCAGGTCATTTCACAAAATCACTTTAATATATAATGTGAACGGATATAGTAAAAAATGATTGAAAAACAAAAGAAAAAAAGCATAGTTCAATGAAGTAATTTAATGTTAGAATAATATATTTGATTAGTTGTAAAATATAAATTACTTATTAATAAAAATGAACAATGTAGTTTTTTTCTCCAGTGCTGGAGATTGCATGCAGGGCCTTGGTTCATGCCAGGTAAGTACTATAGCACATCTCAAGCCCTGAGCTACATCTCAGGTCCTAAATGTACTTCTGAATGCTGTTTGCAAAGAGGAATGCTAGAAATAAAAACATATACATATAATCTTTTTAAAGGCCCAATTGTTTGAGCTGTGGATGTGCTCAGTGGTAGAGTACTTGCCTGGGATTCTTGAGTCCACATTTCTAGGTTCAAGATGCAGAACCCCACCCTCACCCCATTCTTGTACAAGTGAAGAATTAGTTGATAAAGTAGATTTCCTGTCTTCCCATTGTGTGTCTAGCCATATCCTACTTCCCACCCCCAGTGCATCCTTGGCTGTAGCCTCCCTTGCAGTTACAAGGTAAGAGCAGTGCACACACCACTCCCCCTGAACTGTCCTTCCCCTCCTGCTCCCACAAACTCCTGCTCATCTGACAACCAGTTGTGCTCCTTGCATGTTCATACCAGACCCTTGCCTTCCACCCTTTCTCTACCGATTCTTCCTCCTCTTCCTCTCATAAGCTCCCCATGTCTCTGTCATTCTCAATACATTCTGAGTTCTTCCATGCTTCCAATAGTCACTGGTCATGTTTTCCAAATTCAACCTAAGCATCACTCAGTGATGAGCTTTCCTGATACACCCAGGGCAGAACTAATTGTTCCCTTGTCATCTTTCAGTGTCTTATCCAGACTCAAGTGTGTGTCTGTCATCACCTTTCCTAAGGACTCCTTGGGGATGGAGTTCTGGCCTTATTTTTCATGTTGCTGGTATAAGGTGCTGAGCCTGGCATACTGTAGGTGCTAACAAAATGTAGAATGAATAACTGTTTTCTAATGAATATATCTGTAAAAATAGTTTACTTTTCAGTATATTATGGGGCACATGGTATATTTGAAAGAATAACCAGAAGTTAGACATCTGTCATATTCCTCGGTATCTCGGTGAGCCTCAAGCAATGCCTTTACCTTCCTCTCTGCCAATGGTTACGATAGAGCTCATCAGCTCCAGGCCTTCGTTGCCATTGGTGTTTACAGCACGGGCTGCGCACTGCACCCGGGAGCCAGGCTGAAAGTATATGGAGTCTAAGGTGATCATCTTGGACGATGTAAAAAATGTGTCAAAGTCCACCTCTCTCATGGGGCTGGTGACGCCATCAGGTCCTGTGGGAGCACTAATTAGCCATCGGTAGCGGGTCAAAGTGTCATTGATGTTCTCACTTGCACAAATGGAGCCTGTTTTGTCATAGTCTGAATATTTGGGGTTGCATGCCTATGAAAAACAAATAACTATGTTAGGAATGCTGTACAGAACAATGTGGAGATAGGTCCCCTCATGTTCTCTCTTAGTATTTTCATGAAACTTCCAAAATTTCAAATCGCATCCATGACAGCTTTTATGAACTCAAAGCTTTAATTTCAAACTTGAAATATGCAATATGCAAAATTATCTTTTTTTTTGTACCGGGGATCAAACTTGGGTCCTCGTGCTTGCAAGGCAGGCTTCGAAACAACTGAGCTAAATCCCTGGCCCCTATATATGCAAAATTGTTGACCACAGCATTGTGTCTTGAACCCCCAGAGTTGTTGAATTATCTCTATTCTTCTTTCCCTCATTTCTCTCTTCTCCCCTCCTCCATTCCTAGTGAGGGCATTGCAGTCCACCTTTCCCTTGGGGCTGGTCACACTGCCAGGGCCAGTAGGAGAGTTAGTCATCAGTAGCTGGTTTCCTCCATTCTTTCCATGTCCAGTGGGTAAGTGAATTTGATTGTCCTTCTTTTGCAATATTGCTTTAGTTGGTGTCTTCCTATCCATTCTCATAACAACCCCCCTGACTGATTCATGTCCCTTTTTTCCCAGCCAAGTGACATATAACTGCCCCAGTAACCCTTCAACATAACCCTGTAATCACGCTGTCCTTCTGGGTAAGAGCTCCTTGCTATCCAACAAATAAAGCTCAAGATCCTTCATACAGTGTTTAGAGATTTACATAATTTGGCACCAAATTATTATTTATGCCTGGTTAATTCACTAAGTATTTATTGCCTACTATTATAGGTAGGTCATTACTCTAGGGCTATTATGATATAGAATAAGTCATAGCTTTTGCTCATTAGAGCTTATAATTTAGAATAAGAGAAGACAATTATAAAAATAATGATAACACGCTGTTTCTTCTGCTCTTCATTCTTTGACTGCTGCTTATGTTGTGATGACTTGTTTTTGGAATGATCTTCCCTTAATTCTTAAACTATCAAAATTTTACCTGATTCTTCTAAGAATTCCCTCCTACATGGTGTCTCAGCTCTAGTTCTTAATTTGTAACATTCTTACAATAATGATCACATCTTGCTTTTTGTTTTTCAGCTACAAAGTCCTATGTTTTTCTATTGCTTATTTTGAAATTTTTAGAGTGCGCAGTTCATGGCTTATTTATTTTTCAGACATCAACATACACATCAGTTAACAAATCTTTGTTAGGCAAAGGAAGAAAAGTGCGAGCTCATTTAATTAATGTTATCTTTTCTTTTTAAACTTTAAACCTTAGACCTTGTAGAATTTTCCATTTATTTCTTTATGACAATATTTCTTGATGATTAAAGTTTACAGTTATTTTAAATCATTACTTTACAATTTCTCTCAATCTTTCTAATTTCCTACTTACTGTGATGCAGATGACAGGATAGCCAGACACAGGTCCAGCAACCTCCTTGTCTTTGGAAGTGTCATCATACAGTAGCAAGGACATAATTTGAGGAACAGAAGGAAAAGTGACATCTGCCATGCTGTTTATTTCTTCTATATACACAATGGCTTTGGCCATCTAAAAGAAAAAGATACTAATTAGTTAAATGTTAGAGTTTTGGTGTTTCTTTTGTACAGGACAATATCCATGATGCCCATGTAATATCTGTGATAAAAATTGTCACAATCAGAGTCCTTGCAGAGTCACAGGTCTTGTGTGGTTTGTTGCATGTGATGCTGGCACCTTGCTCATATCTCGTGGCTCCAGGGGAGAGCACCTGAGCCTGGGGCAGCTAATTCAAAGGTTGACCAGTGGTCCACAAGGTACTTGGGTTCTACTTTTTTTCTCCAATTGTGATGATAGTAGATAAATCTGTGTTCGTGGTGTGATGTACAAATTACATGAAAAAGTCAATTAGCTCATAGGGAGAAGAGGATGGAAGGGCAATCGGTGGGGCGAGGTGGCAAAAACACCTTGCTAACAATTTGCTGTGGCTCCTAAATAATCTTCAGACACCTGATAACTTCTATCACAGTTTGCAAACCTACCTTTACATGCACAGATGCTTTGTGACTTGCAATGGAGAGACACCCCATGCATCCACCTAACCTAGTGAACACTCAGCTGTACAGGAGACTCAGGGTATCAGCTGTCTCCCTCACAGACATTGGAAAGGACAGAAGTCAAAATGCAAAGTATGTTTTTCATTGAGTGCATATCATTTTTACACCTTTGCAAAGTTGAAAATTCTAAGTTGAATCACCCTAAATCAGGAATTATGTATACATTCTTTAAAAAAAGCTTTTATCACTAGAAGTGAGTTTAATGAATTTATTCCTTTCATCCACAAATTTCATATATTACTCCATGAAAATAATGATAAAAGATTAATTTTGATGTGATCGAAACTGAAACATTTTTTAAATAAAGATTTTGGCCTATTCTTCTGAATTATAAATATGACTTGAGAAAAAGTTGGGGCCGTCAGCAGAAATAGCACCAAGTAATTAAAATGACAAAAATAATTAAGAAAAAAATTTCCCTAATTTGACCTCATTCTAATAATGAAACAAATAATAAAAATGATAGTAAATTTACATAGGTATTTATATTAAATTGATGTATTCCTAAGATGAATTTAAAAATTAATTTAAAAAAATATTTTCAGTATAAAGGCCAAAATTCTATGGAAATTATGTGTATCATGAGGAAAAACTGGTTGCTGATCCAATACAAATTAATTGAGCATAGAAAACAAGTTTTAGGACTACAACGTTTTGGGTATAAGTCTTTGGACATCAAAGTTTAATCAAACTAGGGGGAATAGGTGAGAATTTTGAAAGTTGGTAAATGATTTTGTGGGTGAAAAAGCACGTTTTAATGAGTTGTGGTGCTGAATTGACATGTCTTCTGTGTGCAAAGCAGATGCTAACGGGAGTTCAATCCTCAATTCAGTCACTACTGACTGACAGCAAGGCAAGGGGCTGACAGGGGCTCAGTGACAAAAGGCTTGGAGTGGCTATAAACACAACTTGTCACAGAAAGAGAAGAATTTCTCGGTTATGATTAGAGGAAAATTTATTTCAGTGGTGACGAGGGATTATGCACACCCTTTTGTATAAAGCTTGTCTGAAATCTCAAGGCTCTATTGTACCATATGTGGTTTCTTACATGCATTTGCATAGTAAAATACTAACTCATAAACACATTGCAACCCTCACCTGTGTCTCTGCTATCATATTTTCATCAGGTTTGAGGTGAACTGTGAAGGCCTCTCGCATCTCTCTTAGTCCATCGAAGATTACTTCAATTTCAACAATGTGCTGGGTTTCTCCTTCCTTAAACTCAATTTCTACAAATGCAAAAGTCACAAATTTAAATGTTTTGCATATGAATACAAGAAGTTGAGGCAAGCTTTTTCTCTACATTGAAAAATGCATATTACTTTGTGCCCGGTATGTTTTTGTGTGTAAATGCATGTGTGTGCAAAAGGGAAGCAGAAGTTTGACAGACATCACTAGCTCTTACTATCCACGCTGGACCATAATCTTTTCTTTTCTTTTCTTTTTTGTTTTCTATTCTATCTAAAGGAAAATTCTAAACAAAAGTTACTAAGTTGATTTGTTGCCTCACTGTTTAAAAAACTGCTGAGTTATAGAACAATCAATAGTTCTCATACTGAGGACAATCAAATTCACCTCTTGTTCCCCAGAATTTCTAAATCAATGGGACCCACGTCATATGAATGGGACTGGAAATATAATTGTGAATGTATTTATGTTTATGTGTAGAAAAGTTGGATATAAAATTGAGTTTTTAAATGCAATATCAAATTATACTTCAAAACATTTCTCTCTGTTGTTGTTCTTGGAAATTTAGAAAAGTTATTATAAATAAGTATTAGTGGTTACCCTCCTTACCTAGTTCCTTCTCACTACAAGATTTGCTTCATTGTCATAAAAATTGAATTCATTTATCAGAATTATTTCTTAAACATTCAAAATGTTTAAATTGTTTCAAAATGTTAAATTCAAAAATGTTAAAATTTCAAAATGTTAAAAATCACTGGATTCGACTGAAATTATGAACAAGCAGTTGCCCATACTACTAAACTTAAATAAACTTTGTTGATTTTACTGTATCTTTTGAGAATCAGGATCAAAAGAAAACACACACACAAATAAGATATAGTCATTCCAAACAGAGGAGACAATAAATGTTGCTTTCTAATGTAACTATGGTTCAAAATCAATTATAAAGTCTTTGAGTTTAGCAGGAAAGAAATGCATTCCTACCATATCTTTTTGTACTTCAATTTTTAAATTATCAATTACAAAGAAAACTTTTTTCTTTAAAGTTGAGCTAGTAAGCCAGACATCTTTAAAACTAATTCTGTCTAGATAAAGCATTTTTTCCCCATGAGCCATAGTGTGCTCTTTGTGTTTGTCAGCCCTAGACTTCTCCAGCCCTGAGAGAACTCATGGTTTAGCTAATTATTTTTCACTTAACTTGCTTTTTTAAAAAATTATGTTTTATAATTTTATTAACAATTATTTAAATCATTTCATAATTTAAAATTATGTTTTAGAATTTTTAGAATTATGCTTTACAATTTTACTTTTTATTATGTCTATTTGAGGTATGCAATGTGACATTACAGATAATTTGGTTTGGTCTATGTGATGTGAAATAAAAAATTCATTTCTATCACTTAAAAATCTGGGGATTTCACTGGAAAATAAGATGTTTGAGTTCTTTTGTGCCTTCCTGCATGATAATAGGAGGTTATGATAGCACACGCTTTTCTCATCAAAGAATAAATTTTCTGGATCAATAACATTCCAATCACTCCATTTTCCCTTTGCGTTTCCCTCTCTTCACTCATTTTCTTCCTTCTTTCTTTCTTTCTTTTTTTTTTTTTTTTGATCCTGGGGTATCAACTGAGGGTTTTCTACATGTTAGGCAAATGCTCTGCCACTGAGCTACATGCTTAGTCTTTTTTTTTGGTACCGGGGATCGAACTCAGGTCCTTGCGCTTACGCAGCAGGCAATGAAACCACTGAGCTAAATCCCTGGCCCTCTTCACTCATTTTCGTTGGTTGTCTTTAGCAAGTATTAAAGTTTTATAACCCTTTGAATTATACAAACCAACTTTTAAAGAGTCAAAAATGATTTCAGCATTTAAATCATTTCTATCTGATTATATACTTGGTAGATGATAATCAAGTTTTTAAATCATATTTGTCTTAATCTGTCACTTTACTTTTCAACACAATTATTTTCAACTTTTATACTCAATTTTTATTACTTATTTGCAAAGGAATGACCTCAATTTAGACTATAAAAGGAAAAACTAGAGCATGTTTTACCAAAAAAAATTGTAAGTTTTTATTTAAACATAATATTGACACCAATATTATGTTTAAAAGACACTCAGTGATTTAAGATTATTTAACTTTTCTTTACCCCTAGTACTGGGGATGGAGTGCAGGGGCACTCAGCCAGTGCACTACACCCTCAATCCTTTTTGTTTTTATTTTGAGACAAGAGCTCTCTAAATCACTCAGATTGGCTTCAAGCTTGCAATTCCCTACCTCAGCTTCTCCAACCACTGGGATTACTGGCATGTCACCATGCCTGGGAGCATTATTTCACTTTTATCTGACTTCTTTTGTCAGTTCACTACATAGCAGTGATTTTGTTTATGTTTTAGCAAACAGAATCATTTTATTTCTAAGAAAAACAATTTTTGCTAAGGGTCCTACTACCAATATTTAGCAGGGTTTTCCTTCATGTAAAATCTGTTCATGTTAAAAAGGACAGATTTTAGACTTTATATTTTAGCAGCTAATCCATTTTGCTTTTTCTTCTTTTGGATTACATGTGATTTATTTTCTCAGAATAATCTGAGGGTAAGTTTGAAGCTATAGTGTTTTATCATTTTTTTACCATATAGGTAAAGAAAATAAACTTTTCTTTGTAGAAGATGTTATTATTTTCTATTTCCTAACTTCATTACTGATTCAGGAACATCTACCAGTTACTTTTTAAATTTCGCTGGTGAGTTAGAACATCAAGATGAATGCCTGCAGTATTATGGTTGTCAAGAAGTAATGATCACTGGAAATGAGAGGTAGATAAGCAGAAGTTCAAATAATTCATAAACTTGTTTTTTGATATAAGTTTATGTTTATTCTGTCAGTAAATAATTGCAAGAAAGAGTAAAGGAGGGAGGGTAGAAGGAGGGAGGAGAGAGACAGAGGGAGGGAGAGACAGAGATAGACAGAGAGAGAGAGAGAGAGAGAGAGAGAGAGAGAGAGAGAGAGAGAGAGAGAGAATTTATTTGTGCCAATTACTCATAAAAGTAGACAATGCAATGATCCCAAAATGTGGACCAGAGAGATGAAAGTCAACCTTAAGAGGCTCCTACATATGTCTCAGAGAACTCATGGTCTCTGTGCTTGGGATTTCACCAATTATTTTTTCCAGTACTGAGGATTGAACTGGGACATTCACAGTGAGATATATTTCCAGTCCTTTTTATTATTTTTTGTTTGTTTGTTTTACTTTGAGACAGGGTTTCTAAGTTGCCCATACTGGGGTCTAACTTGCAATTCTTTTGTCCAGAAGTGCTTGTATTATAGGTGTGGGCCACCACAGCTGGCTTTACCACATTTTTACTGCCCTTGATTGGCATAAATTTTTATAGCTTTGGGGGGTGGCAGGAGAGGAAGGGAAGGAGAAATAAAAAAATTATGTATATGTACCAACTCCCCATGATAAATGTAATCATTATGTACTGCAAATATGTACTAATAAAAAAAGTCAGCTGAGCCTTCCCAGTATTTGAGGTTGAGAGGTAAACTTGAAACTAAGTCTCATTTATAAATTTAAAATAGAACTATATAGATCATTACACTACACACTGTTTTATTTGAATCGCATAGCATCCTTTATTAAAGAACATTAAAGATCTGAGAGTTATATGACTTTCTACTCTCCTATCCTCACAAAATAAAAGCTTTCCCATCTTAAAAGCAAGGAAACAAATGAAAAAGGTTTAGATTATAGGTTTGCTCTAAACTGAAATAGATTATCATCACAGTTATCATGCACATTTTAAATGTAACAGAAATTTTCAGGAAAATTATTATGTAATGTCCAATCAAGAGATGAAAATAAAACCAGCTGAAAGTTTAAAGTACACTCCAGACAGAAAGTCTTCTAACATATCTACTCAAAATTTCCCTAAGCCCTAACACATGTGAATCACAAAGGAAGCTCTGGGAGTCAAAAAGGAAAATTCTAGAAATAAATTGTTGTCTTTCTATTTAAGGAAACATGTCTATTTATATTCAAGCAGATGTTTCTCTTTGTCTTAAGGGTACAGCCCCAGGACACAGTGTTGGCATGATCCACTTGGTGACAGCCCCTGACCACCTACCTTCTGACACAGGGTGATAATCTTCCCCAGAGATGGCTGAGCCGTCTTTTGTGTGGACTCTCACGATGGAAACTTGAGAAGTGTCTCCTTGGCGCATCACTGGAATTTTTACAACCACAGACTGTCCTGGCTCTTTGGGTTCTGTGATGGTAAATTTGGTTTCTCCAAATTTGATCACAGTCTCTGAAATTGTGGAAAAAACACAGACAAATTAATCCTTAACAAAGAAAACAGTTTTTCTTCCATTTTAATCCTTCCTTTCATGTAGGAGGATACACTTCTGGCTTCTCTATTTCCTCAGTGTTAGTAATGAGAAGGAGAGGAAGGAGAAGGAGACATGTGTTGCCCAGTTGGTTTTTGTTTGTGTGCATGTGTATTGTGCTGGGAATAGAATCCAGGGCCTTATGCATGCTGGGTGAGTGCTTACCAGTAGCCTACATTCCCAGACCCCAACTTTATCAGTTTTAATAGTTTAGTTTGTTCCCCACATGTCTTAGTTATCTTTTCAATTGCTCTCGAACCCTTTTCAGAAAGAGGTTGTTAATTTCTGAGCCACCTAAAACCTTAACGGATAGATTTCTGTTCCCAATTCACAGGTGAGCATAAGCAATGGCTTCTTACTGTCAGCATCATCTTGGATCCTTATCAGAGTTTCATTTTGTTCACCAACTGCAGCCCCAAAAGGGGAGTTGCTTTGTGGGGTGCCAAGTACCAGGCGGAGTTCCTCTACTTCCTCATAGAGTGTATCATCCATCAGCTCAAGGATACATGGCTTTTCAGTCTCACCTGGAGCAAATAATAATGCCAGCAGGTCAATCATATCCCATACACCAAGAAGAATACAGCAACAACTAGGACAAAGGCATCACAAGAGCAATGATGTTGCTTTTCTCCTGCTGTATCAGTGCAAAGAACAGTGTTTGGCATGTAATTAGCCTTCAATAAATATTTACTGAATAATTAAATAAATGTTTAAACACAGGCAAGAATAGGCCCTTGTTTGCATAAAGAACTTCTCTAATTTCTGTTCTGAAGTTTTATCATTCATCTGAAAAGCAAGCAAAAGAGAAAATGGCCAATTTTCTTTATGAATTCTTAGCATTATGATCAGGAAGCAAATCTAGTAGATTTGTACTGGTTGGTCATTATTAATTTGACTGTATAATTAGTTTCTGGTATTATTAACTTTTGACTTATTGAATAAATCACTGAGCCAAGAACAATTATGTCCCTGGCTCCAACAAGTAGGACCAATATTATATCCTGAACATTCCCATATCTTAATAATTTTTAAAAACTTTTTTAATGACCATAAGATACCATCAGATGGATGATCACATTAATAATTCTTCAATTGTTGACCATTTGTTTCCAATCTTCTATTGCTGTGAATAATTTTGTGATAAATATCTGCATAGGGAAATCTTCCTGTACACTTTTATTTTTTAATGAATATATTCCAAGGGAAAAAGGATTGTGCAGTGGTAAATGAAAACAACTCAATCTCTCTGAGATTTGGTATCCAGACTGTGGAAAACAATAACTTGGAGAAGCATCAAAGAGACACTATTTTGTTCCCTGGGAGCCACAAAGGATCTTACCAAAAAAGTATTAAAAGGTACAGAAGAAACAGAACACAATGTTGAAAAGTGAACTGGACTTCCTCTGAAATGAGAAACTTCTCATGGCATGATGCTGCAATGTAGTGGACCAAGCTGGCACCAGTGTGTCCTTCTACAGGCAACAGCTGGTGAGTGACTCTAACACAAGTGTCCGCCATTCCCCTGGAGAGAGTGCTTGCTGGGAAGCCACTCTGGGGAAGGGCTGACTGTTTGAACCTGGTACCCAAAGGCTCTATTCAGTGGCTCCCAGTGTTATGTTCCCAAAATAACTAGGTGAAGGACATCCTCCAGAGACAACTGGCTATCAGATAACAGGCTGGAAAAAGACCCCATGATGGGTTTGCGGTAAAAGATACAGACCCAGCTCTTAGGGCCAGAGGCCAGGCTCATGCTGAGTTGCACGAGATTTAAAAACTATGGCACTCTCTGTTGTGCCTGCATCCAGTATAGATCTGGGGTCTGACTGCCCTCTTTATCTACCAGCATGAGCAGGGAGAGGGATATGTCTTGACTTGGATATTGCCCCAAAATTGTAGATTCTGGAAGAAAGCCACACATCCAAAATAAGAGAGGAATTTATATTTTTGCCTTTTTCTTTCTTCCTCCTTTCCTTGTTTGTTTTATGAGTGTATTATTTTTCCTTCTCTCCGTTTTTCTTTACTAGTTCATAAAGGGTAAGGGAATTCGCCCTTATCCATTTTCCTTGCTTCTTTTTTATCCTACCTCATTTTCTTACTTGGTTTTTTGCTTTCTTCATTTTTATCTATCTTCTTTTTAATTTCTCTTCCTTTAACTTTTTCTCTCATATTTCTATTCATGATATTCTCCTTTTCATCACCTATTTCTCATTATTTTTTTCTGTTATCCCTACTTAATTAGATAATCATCCCTCTACTCCATTAGGGTCCTTTGCTTCATCCTTTTTCCTTCTCATATCTTATAGTTTAATGTTTCACATTTTTCTTCTTTCATTCCCCTGTCTCCCATCCACCATATCTTTAGTAGTATAACCATAAGCATTATTAGTCTTTAGATAGTTGACTCTATGAAATTCTTGTTGAATACTTCCCCAAAGCCAATCTAGGGGGCATTGAGGGGAGAATAGCACAAGCCACACACCCAAATTATTAAAAAAGATAATGTAGGATGTTAGATCAAAGAGGTACTCAGTGAGATGACTAAAATGTAGAAAATATAACTAAACAGGTAATGAATGTAATAACAAAAATGATTCAGGACCTTTCAGAAGATACTAATAAAAAACTAGATGAGCTAAACAAAATGATACAAAACATGAATGACCAGTGTAGCAAAGAACTGGAGCCCATTAAAAGGTTTCAGTTAGAGATACAGGAGATTAAAAATTATATTGAAAGTACAGGCAGCAGAAATGACCAATGTGAGGACAGAATTTCAAAGCTAGAAGTCGATGATGCTTTCAAAGACCAATTATTCAAAGACACCTTGAAGACCACAAGAGAACATGAAAAAATGGGTCCAGCAGCTCCTAGATGAAGCTAAGGAGACTAATCTGAGTAATAGGAATAACTGAAAACCAGAAGACATGACAAATGGCATAAGGAACCTGTTCCCAGAAACAATGGTGGAAAATTTCTCAAATATAGAGCAAGAAATAAACAGGTAGACAGGTGAAGCATATAGAACCCCAAATCACAACCAAAAGAGAACTTTTCTATGCCATATAATTCTCAAAGTAACAGAAGTCCATCACAGGGATAAAATATTAAAAGCTCTTAGAGGAAAAGTGATGAGTCAAATACAAAGATAAGCCCATTAGAATTAAAGAATATGTTTAGCACAAACCTTAAAGACCAGGAAGGCTTGGAGTGAAGTATTTTAAGCCCTAAAATGTAACAATTTCCAACCCTGACTTACAAACCTGGCAAAACTTTCCTTCAAACTAACAGAGAATTAAGGTATTTCCATGACCATCAAACCAGCTTTATAAAAAATTCCCAAGGATATCCTAGAAAGAGACAATGAAGCCAACAATGCTAATATCTAAAAGAATGAATATACATGGCAGGATGAGTAGCTAAAAAAAATAGGAAAAAAAATATAAGGAAATCATCAGGAGGAAAACAATGCAATGACAGGAATAAATCAATATTTTTCAGCAATAATTCTCAACGTGAATGATCTCAACTCCCCATTCAAAAGACATATACTTGTAGAATGCATCAAGAAACAAAATCCAATGATGTGTAATATATAAGAAACATATTTAATTCCAAAAGGAATTCACAGATTGAAAACTGGGGACGGAAAACAATATTCCATGCAGTAGGAACATGGAGAAAAGCAGAAATAGCTATCCCAATTTTAGAAAAAGTGGATTTCAAGCCAAAACTGATCAGAAGAGGCCAAAAAGGTCACTGCATATTGTACTGGAACAATTCAACAAGTAGATATAACAATTATAAACATTTGTGTTCCAAACAGTCCTGCACTCAACTTCATAAAGCAAACACTACTGGACATGAAAAATCAGATAAATGTCAGTACGGTTGTAATGGGGATCCTCAATACCTCACTGCAAGGAATTTACAAAGAAATATCAGAATTGAACCAAATCTTTGAACAAATGGACTTAATAGATATCTACAGAGTGTTTCCTTCAGCAACAGTAGAATTACATATTCTTCTCAGAAGGGCATGGGACTTTCTCCAAAGTAGACTACATACTAGCCCATAAAGCATGCTTAAGTAAGGCAAAAGAATTGAAATTATCCTATGCATTTTACCAGATAATAGTGCAGTGAAACTAGAAAGCAATGGCAAAAGAAACCACAAGAATTCTGCAAACACATGGAAATTAAACAATATCCTCTTGAATAATCAGTGGGTCCCAGAAGAAATTAAGACAGTTCCAAGGATCAAATGATTATGCCAGTACAACATTCCAGAATCTATGGGACACAAGGAAAGCAGACCTGAGAGCAAAGTTTATAGCTGTGAATGCCCACAACAGAAAAACAGAATAATTTCAAATGAAGAAGCTTTTCATGCACCTCAGTGTTCTAAAAAAACAAGAATGAGTCAAATCCAAATCTACCACAAAGAAGGAAATTATAAAGATTAGAGTAAAAATAAATACAATTGATACTAAAAAAAAAGTACAAAGAATCAGTGGATTGATTTGGTTCTTTGAAAGATTAAACAAAATAGACAAATCTTAGTCAGTTTTTTTCAAAACAAGGAAAGAAAAGACCCAAATCCACACAATTAGAAATAAAAAAGGCAAAATAACAACACTTCTGCAGAAATCCAGAAGATCATTGGTAATTACTTTGTGAATCTGTACTCAAAATGAAAAATTCAGAGCAAATGGATAGATTCATAGATATATATAAATATATATGAATATATGAATATATAAATATATATGAATATACATATGAATGTATATTCATGAATATATATGAATATATGAATATATATGAATACATGTTACTAAATCTGAACCAAGACATAATTTAATATCAGTCAATGAAATTGAAGTAATTAAAAAATGACCAACTAAGAAAAGCCCAGATCCTGAAAAATTCATTGCCAAATTCTACAAGAATTTTATTATCTGAAGTCAATACTCTTTAAACTCTTTAATAAAACTCTTTAATAAAACCAAAAGGGAAGTAGTACTTTCAAAGTCATCGCTGAAAGTAAGCATTACCCTGATTCTAAAAACAGAAAATGTTTATTTGCTGTTTCCACTTCTTTGTCTGAGAAATGTCTGTTCATTTCGGATGCCCATTTTTGGATTGGATCTTTAAATCTGGGAGGTCTGATTTTTTTTAAAGTTCTTTATATATTCTAGATAGTAGACCTTTGTCTTGAGGAACAGCTAGTAAAATTTTTTTCCCACATTGTGAGTTGTCTCTTTACTCTGTTAGTGGTTTCTCTTGCTGGGCAGAGCTTCTTAATAAGTTGAGATCCCAGTTGTTGATTCTTTGTGCTAGCTCACATGTGACTGAAGCTTTGTTCATAAAATATTTTCCTATGCCAATGTCTTCAACAGTTCTACCTAACCTCTCTTCCAGCCGATTTAGTGTTTCTGTTTTAATATTTAGATCTTCGATTCATTTCAATTTTAGTTTAGTGCTTGTGAGAGATACAGGTCTAGTTTTAATCTTTGGCAAGTTGAAACCCAATATGAAAAAAATGTTCAACATCACTGGTCATTTGAGAGATGCAAATGAAAACAATGCTGAGATTCCACTTCACTCCGAAAAGAATGGATGCTATCAAGAAATCAACCAATAACAAATACTGGCGGGGTTGTGGGGAAAAAGGAACCCTTCTTCACTATTGGTGGGAGTGTAGACTGGTGCAATCACTGTGGAAATCAGTGTGGAAGTACTTCAAAAAACTAGGAATAGAGGTCCCATTTGACGAGCTATTCCCCTGGTGGGTATCTTCCCAAAAGAATTAAAAGAATCATACCACAGCAATATATGTATACACATGTTTATAGTGGCACAGTTTGTAATAACTAAAACTTGGAAACATCCCAATTGCCCCATCAGTGGTGACTGCATAAAGATTTTTTTTTTTATAAAATGGAGTACTACTCAGTTGTAAAGAATGAGAAACTGGAGACATTAATAGCTAAATGACTGCACATTGAGGCCATACTCTTAAGTGAAATAAATAGGGCACACCTGTGTAAATACCAAATTGTTTCTCTAGTGTGAGAAACTGGAAGTGTAAATAAGGATCAAAATGTATAATAGATAATGTGAAATGGGAAGATAAGGCCCAAAAGGGAGGGGGAAGTGGGAGAGGTAGGGGAAGGGAAATGAATAAATATGATAAAAGGAAAAAATGGAAAAAAAATCTTTGTAAATAGGGAGAGGTGGAAGGATGGAAGGGAGAGCAGAGGATAGGGAAAAAATAAGAACCAAGATATATCATGTAAAAGTATGAATTCCCAATGATGACTGTCATCACATTGTATACCTAAAATGTACCAATAAACTTAATGAAATAAAAAAAAACAAACCATAAAATGAGTCAACCAAAAAAAGAATTACTGGCCAATGTCTTTAATGAATATAAATGCAAAACTCCTCAACAAAATCTTGGCAAATATAATGCAGCAAATCATCAAAAAAGATCATACACAATGACCATCCATGTAGGCTTCATCCCAGGGATGCAAGGATGGTTCAACACATGCAAGTCAATAAATATAATAACCACATAAACAGAAGCAAGGAAAAAAAATCATATAATCATCTCAATAGACAAAAAGCCTTTGACAAAATCTAACAACCATTCATGATAATATCCCTGAAGAATAGGTATTCAAAGTCTTTATCTCAATTTGATAGAAGCCATCTGTGACAAACCCGCAGCCATTATATATTAAATAGAGAGAAGCTGCAAGCTTTCCCTCTAAAATGAGGAACAAGATAAGGACATTTGCTATCACCACTCTTTTTCAATATAGTTTTTGAAACATTAGGAAGACCAATCAGGCAAGAGAAAAAAATGATAGGGATGTATACAGGGGAGGAAGAAGTTAAATTATCATTATTTTCAGATGATATGATCTTCTACATAGATGACCCCAAAAGCTTCACCAAAAGATTATTATAATCAATAGCCAAATTCAGTGGCACAAAAGGATACAAAGCCAACACTCAAAAATCAACAATGTTCCTGTAGACCAATAATAAACTCACTGAGAGAGAATTAGGGAAACAACAGTTTTCACAATAGCATCAAATAAAATGAAATACTAGGAAGGAACCTAACTAAGGAAGTGAAACACCTCTGTGATGACAACTACAGTACTTTGAAAAAGGAGATTGAAGAGGATATCAGACAATGGAAGGTTATCCTCTATTCCTGGATAGTCAGAACACATATAGTCAAGATGGCAATAATTCCAAAACTGTTATATAGATTTAATGTAATGTCAATCAAAATACCAATAGCATTTTTTCACAGAACTAGAGAAAAGAACCCTAAAATTCATATGGAACCAGAAGAGATTTAGAATTATAAAAGCAATTCTGGGAAACAAGGGAAAGGCAAGTGGCATCAAAATTCTGGACTTCAAGTTATACTACAAAGCTACAGTGATAAAAACAGCATGGTTTGGGGGAAAAACACGCTTGTGGATCAGTGGAACAGGTTAGAAAGTGAAGAAACAACTCTAGGGAGGGGAGAGAAGGAGGTTAAAAAAGGAAATGAGAAATGTCGTGTACATGTACCAACTCCCCATGAAATGTAATCATACTGTACTAAAAACATGTGCCAATAATAAATTTTAAAAGAATACATTCCTACAGGTATAATAATTGAATTAAAGTGATTGAATAGTTTCAGGTACTAGACACATATTAATAATATGGGATGTATTTCATCTCACTACATTTGAACATTAAGTTTAATTCCCAGCATTGTGAAAACTGTATATTTGATATGCTTTTTTCTGCTGAGTAAGTTTTGAATAAACAATATAGCCCACTACTGGGAATCAATAAGTGAATATGGAAAACAACCTGCCATTCACTGAAACTGCTGCAATCTACTTCATCTTATTATTTGTCCACATAAAGATATCTCCTAAACTTGTTGAAATGAAGGTGCTTTATTTCCCTCATATATATTTTTAAATAAACACCTGGCTTCCTCAAATTCCATAAACAAACTTCAAACTCAAACTTACCAGGGAGGAATGTGATGATTGAAATGTCAGTATTCGGGCGTTCTTCAAAGTCCATCATCACCTGCGCGGACCCTTGCCGTGTGTAGCATCTCACTGAAGACCTGTACTGGACATCCCCACTCCTGTGGATCACTGCAGTTACCTGCCCGTCATTTTCACTACCAGTGTATACTCGCTCTTTGAACTGCATCTTAGGCACTGCAAAAAACAAACAAACAAACAAATGAACAAACTCATGGATCAAAGTGAACAGAAAGTTCTTTAAGGAAAGAGCATTTTAGAAGATACAGCTTGATGGAGGGAACAGGAGAAAAGAAGTGAGAATTGGATCACAGTCTTGACTCAGTCATTTGGTAATGTTTTAACTTTGGGTAAATCACTTAACTTTAAGATTTTGATTTCTTTATTGTTTGTATTTTGCTCTGCTTATTTTGTGAAGTAAGGATATGCAACAAAATGCTAAAAAGTAGTAAAACAAAAAATCTTCAGGTCTTTCTAGCTACATAAGTTGCTTGGTCATGAATTTTTCAGAATTTATTCATATGAAGAGCACTAAATATTGTGCACATAATTATAAACATAGTTTATGCAGATCATGTTGGGAAAGGTGATAGTGTGTGTATAATTATTAGGTGACATTTAAGCTGGGTCAATTAAATATAATTCTCATTAACAACAGGTTAGATTTCTGAAACAATATCAGAATTATCATGTTTAAGAGCATTCAAAATTTCCCTACTATAAAAGCCTTGAAAAAAATAGGTTTAAAATAGAAAAAAAATTGCCAACTATTCCTTGGAAAGAGGACTAACATCTAGAACATACAAAGAACTCAAAAATTAGACTTCCCCAAACAAAAGACCCAATCAAAAAATGGTCAATTAAAATGAATAGACACTTCTCAAAAGAAGTAAAAATGGACAATAAATACATGAAAAAATGCTCAACCTCACTGGGCGTTAGAGAAATGCAAATTAAAACTACACTGAGATACCATCTTGCCCCTCTAGAAAGAATGTGGTATTATCAAAAAAATCTATAACAAATGTTGGTGAAGTTCTGTTGCAAAAGGAACTCCTCTACATTGTTGGTGGGAATGCAAACTGGTAATAAGCACTATGGAAACCGGTGTGGAGATGCCTCAAAAACTAAAACTAGAAATTCCATTTGATCAGCTATCCTACCTCTAGGTCTCTTCTCAAAAGAGTTGAAGACATCATATTATAAGGATACAGTTTATAGCAGCACAGTTTATAAGAGCTCCATATTGGAAACAGTGTATATATCTGTCAACAGATGAATGGATAAATAAAATGTTGTATATATAAATGATGGAATACTACTGTGCCATACAGAAAGATAAATTTGATGCATTTCTAGGCAAATAGATGCAACTTAAAAACATACTGTTAAGTAAGTGAAATAGGTCAGACACACAAAATTAAATATTACATGGTTTCTCTTATATGAGAAACTCAAAAAATATATAGATACATGTATACAAATAAAGTACAAAGTAGAAGATAGATAAATAGGAAGTTTCTTCTTTGTAAGAGAGAATCTTTTTGTTTCTGAGTGTCTATTTGAATATAATGATACACAGTGTATTAACTATTGTTAATCTATTATTTTGTTATGAAATTTTGTTATATTTTTTAAAAAAGAAAAAGAATTCCCTTGTGATGATGTGTCAGAGAACCCTGCCCTATGTCTGGCCAGCTGCTTGTCTCATAACAGTGTATTTGGCACCTATACTTGAGTAGGGGCTGGCTGACGGAAATGGCAAAACGTGTGGAAGTAGAAAAGCCCACTGACTCTCAAGGATCTGTGCAGCTCCATCCGTGGCTCCACCCATCTGTGGTGAGGAAATTCCTAAAATGCCATCCAGACACTGATGGCACCACCACTTTTAGTCTTTAATATTTGAGAAGAATACATGCTTTCTTCCAGCACTGTCTAATTCTACCAAAATGAGCAGGAGGAGAAATGAAGACCTGGTCAGATAGTGTATTTGTATTGGTTGAACTGTGTCCATCCATCCCTGCAAATATCAAAGTCCTGAGCCCCAGTACCAAAATGTGGCCTTACTGGTGGGTGGTGTCTTGTAATCAAATGGAATAGGTCCTTAGGGTATGCTGTAGTCCACTCTAACTGGTGATCTCATGAAAAAGGGAAAATTGGACACAGAGACATATGTAGGGAAAAGGATGTGAAGAGACATAGGGACTAGACAACCATTTTCTGGCCAGAGAGAGAGGTCTGGAGCATCATTCCCTGACCATCCTTAGAAAGAACCAATTTGGCCAACACTTTCATTTTGACTTCTAGGCACAAGCTGTGAGACAATAAATTCCTTTGGTTTAAGCCATCATGTCTGTAGTCCTTTTTAATGGCAACACTGTCAAATGAATGTAGGTATACCATTCCTGTACATAGTTTGCCATTCTCCTGTCATTTATATAAACCCTAGCTTACCATTTTACTTATCATTGTAAAATTTATAAATACTCACAATCAGAGACAGAGTCGTTTATAGACACTGTTGCTTTGCTGGGCTCACCAAGGGCAGCATTCATAGGCATTCGAAGCACCAGTTCAAATTTCTCGATTCCTTCCAGTACTGGTTGTCCAAGGTCATCCAGAATGGTAACACGAACAGTCTGCATGTTGACTCCAGGTGCAAAATCTAAATTACGACTGATTCCCACATAGTCTGTTCCAGCTATGAAGTCACAAAAGAATTATTTAGTGAGAACTGAATTTTAAAAATTACTAAAAATAAATTATATAGATACATGGACATTCCTCCTTTCATAACAGTTCTGTTTCTGTGACTAGGTTGTTAAATGAATTGATTGCTAAATGGGAAACTGTATATAGTATCAACATTACAATATTCAGAACAAAGAAATGGTTAAAGGAAACTCCAACTTGATGACTTACTTTTATCTGCATAACTCTTACAGGTAGTACTGTAATGTCTAATGGACATAAAACTACAATACGGTACTGTACAGTACAACCAGCAAACATTACAGTAATATTCTACTGTAGAAGAAGCCATCATTAGGCTGCACTGCTATTCACATTCCTGCGTCATAAGTCTGAACGCAAATCATAAGTCTGAAAGGTTGGTCATAAGTCCTAACAGCTTGCCTTGTTTATCATTAAACAAGTAGGTCATTAAACAAGGAATATATGCATTTATAGCTTATTTTTTTAAAAGAGACCACTATAATACTATAGAAGAGTACCTTAACAAAAGGCAAAAGATTAGTGTTTACATAATTATTGAGGTAATGGTTCAAAGGTTTTGAACTTTATGTCTAATGGTTGGACACAGGGTTAGTTATTTTTGCTTTCTATGCTATAGTCCCTCCATCTTTATTAGAATCTTCCAATGAAGCTAATATAAGTGAGGTCTAAAACAATCAGCATGTCAATCACAGATGATCATAAATGATATATGAAATACATACTTTTCCAATTTTGTTCATGTTAGTTAAATGTCTATAGCTCTTATTTCTATGTTTCTGGACCTACTATAGAACATCCTATTTAAGTGTATGGTTGCCTGTTGGTTACTGGTACACATTTCAGGTACTATAGTTTCTGTCCCACATACTCAAGCCATACTCCTCCCCAGAGATGAGAAATTAGAACATACTTCAATTCTCAAAGACATATTTGATCTTTCTTTCATTTAATATTTTTCAGGCAATGGAATCTATCTATTTATATATGTCCTATCTATCTATCTATCTATCTATCTATCTATATCTACTGTTAACACTTCCACTTCAAGTAGTTAAAGCAAACCTGTCTTCCAATCTTTTACCATTACATACAGAAAGACTGGGAGGAGGGGAAGGTAGTTCAATCCTTCTGCTTCCTTCTTTGCTTTCATGCCTTTTGCTCTTCTGGGCTCTCATTTTAGATCTGCTTTGCCTTGGAATATGCACATATTTGAGTGTATCTATCTTTAATTCAGTTGTAAAATATCTGTATCACCTTGTTGTTCTTTCTGTGCTTTATTTTTCCTGTATCTTGTCCCTTATTCTCATTTCTCTCTCTTTCTCCATCTCTGATTTGAATTTTTCCCTTAAAAATTTCTAATTTGGGAAAAAAGTTTATTGGGCACCTATTACATACAAAGCATTGCTAGTTCTATTGCATTAAAAAGTTAAAACCTAAGGGTAATTTTTAAAACCATATGAGCCCTGCTTGCTTTATGTGCTGAATAATGATGTGTATATGATGTAAGTATGTTTGTACACATCACACATTCATTATAAAAGATGAATATGTGTATATAAGAGAGAGAGTTTTTATGCTGTTGGTCAATTAGGAAAAAAAGAGAAAATTTGAATCCTATGCTTGTCTTAAACTTTACAATCAACTTTATGAAGTAATATGTTCCAGAATAAGATATATATGAGTTTGTCTAAGAAGTGTGGGGGAAAGGTTTATAGATGTGGAGTACTTATAAGGACAGTTGGCTAGAAGGTGGGGAGGCAGCCAAGCAAAGATGCATATTTGAAGGCCATTTAAATATCATTTGATCTCTGTGAGGTGGTCATCATGAATACTCTGCACATAAGTCACATTAATTATTGAATATTAATATTATTGAATATTATTAGATTTTCTGAGTGGAAAACAAATTCATGGAAACATACAATTAACTCATAGCCCTTAAGTCTCTTTTCCTACAGTGTAAAAGAGTTCTTAGATTTACCTATCATAGAGTAATAATTTTAGGGGAAAAAAATCCATCCAGCATGCCTCACAAGGGTTGAGCATAAATTCTTTATTTTTCTGCCCTAATTATTTTGGCTGTAAATATTTGGTGTCATGGTAGTTGGATGCCCTAGAACAATCACAAAGACTGAGGTCGGAAACTGCTCACCATCTGCAGAAGGAGGGTCCGTTTTCTGAGATCTCACCGTGACACTGGAAGGCCTGGAGAGGTCGGTACCCACTCTCCACACCCGCACCTCCACGTGGCCCGCGCTCTCATCCACGGAGTACTGCACGTCCCCGAAGTAGAAGGTGGGTTCTGTGGAGAACGACAGAACCATTTTATTTTTTATTTTTACTTTTTCACATCAAATGCTTCCATCATGATTTCAGAGTTAGCTTCATCTCATATCATCATACTTTTTCCTTTAGTAAGCTAACGTCTCTTTAATATGTATATTTGTAATTTTCAGGTCAAAATATCACTGCTTGGGAACAAAGTACATTCTCATCTTGAGGCCTAAGAATTGGTTTGTTTCCCATATGTGAGATTATAAATAACTTCTAAATGTACCTCCGGCAAGTTTAGACAGACAAATAGAATCAAATGAAACATAACCCAAAAGACTGAGAATTTTTTTAAAGTTTGGCTTGGGTGCTCATTTTACCATCTCCTCTCAAATTTTCATTCTAGAACAGAGATGCTGCTGTGTGATTATGCTGTCTTTAGATCATTACATTTGGGTATATTTAGGTCTATTCTAACCACTAGACTTAGAACTTATTGGCATAACTAAATTGAGTTTATGTGATTACCAGTCCTGAAAACTTTAAAGGAAGCAATACCTAAGTGCTGGCTACCTGTAGTTTTGAGGATCTTCTATACCAATGGAGATTTCATTAAGAAGTTAGAACTTGTCCTCAGGTATGAAAATAATGTGACATAGGTCATTAAGATAGGGTATATGCTTTGGAACTTTGTATTTCTTTCCAGTATTGGTGATGAATTTGAATTGATTTACCTTCCTCCCTTCTTTTCATTTGGACAGTGCTGGAGCATGTGAGTGAATGTGTACAGATGAAGGTGTTATCTTACTAAATGCAGTCAAAGTAGACCTGGACTATAGGCCAATGCATTCCATACATTTCTCACTTCTAAGGAGGGGGCAAAGGTGAAGGCAGAGAAGCCCTGAGAATACTTACTCTGACCAGATGGCCAAACCAGGACATTTGCCTGTCTTTTCAAAGGCTTTTATAACTATTATGGAGGTCTGATCACCTGCATGCAACAAATGGTTTCTCTAAATCTCTTTACATTCCTGGAAAACTGCATCATCACCCAGGTTAGGTTTCTGAGACAGGGAGAGAGCTGTGAAACTCAGTAAGGAAGGATTGCCTATTGAATAGTGTTACCTCCCATCTTCCTACTCCTCACAGATCTGCATTAGAATGAACATATGGGCACAGAATAAAATCATTCAAGTGAGTTCAACCATGAAACACCAGAGAGATTATGTATTAGGGCAAAATTGTGTTTTGCATGTGTGTGTGTTTTCAGATTTCGTTCTGTCGACTACAGAACAAGTGTTTGTAAGTTCTCTCTTTTTTTGGTACCGGGGATCGAACTTGGATCCTTGTGCTTGCGCAGCAGGTGGCGAAACCACTGAGCTAAATCCCCGGCCCCATGTCTTTAATGTGTAGTTCACAAAAAAAAGAGAGTCCTATGTAATACTCAGAATTTATATCCAATTTGTCATTCAGAATGAAGATTAATGATAATAGTTACCACATGTGCTTTATGAGAGAAAGAGAAAGAGGAGCAGTAGCATGGCGCATGCAACAATGCCGCAGATCACGAGTAACAACCATACGAACAGTATTATCATACAGTTTAGAATGTGGTAGGTGCATTGATCATTACTTCCAGCAGAAAGAGGGTAATGAAAACTGAGTTTTAATCCTAAATCCCTCAATTTTGATACAGCAGTTAATAGAATTAGGAAAGTTAGTTAACTACTTCCTTAAAAGGAAGGAAGTGATTATTAGTAGTTTTAAATTACTTATATGATTTCTCTGCTTCTCTGTGCTCCACTGAGGATGACTAAAAATTGGTCAAATAAACAATTGGAATTATTGTAGTTGAAGTTTGAGGTGACTATTACGAGATTAAAACACAATTCAATAATTTCTATGACAAAACAAAACAAAAACAAAACCCCAAAGTTGAACTGCCTAGTTTCTTGTGCCATTAATAAAAAGAAATGGCTAGATATTCATCATCATCTTAGCCTCTCAGTGTAGATGAATGAGAACTGAAAATGTAGATGAAATCTCTAAAATTTGAATGTTTATAATTCTTTATTCAAAACTATATGTAATACAAGTGAATTATAGATCCTTGAAGCACTGTGATGAGTTACAAGGAAAATGGCAAGTTTTTTCGGGAACAATTTAATTGGTTCTGAGCAAGCAAAAGGAAGAAAGGGATAAATGGGTGAAAATAATGAACATATAAAGATAGCTATGCAAAATCCAGAATATTGCGTGTGCTAGCAAATAATTATTAGTTATGAATAAGACTCTTAACACACTTTTTTCTTTGGTAAACCTTTTTGTGGCCCAGGAACTTGTTTTATTATAATTTTTTAATTAAGCAAACTGAAGATCTTTGCAAATCAGTCATGGAAATACATTACAATTTAGAGCAAATTATATAAAGTCTATTTAATTCTCTAATTCAGCTCTGAAATACACCTTGTGTTTTATACTATATTCACTTTCACAGATTTAGTGGAGAAAACAGCTCGAGGCTGATACTATTACCGGGAATGAGAACATGATTGAGTAAAGCCAAACATCCTGCATCCCACACCCATACAACATCATAAAACAACCATTCTTCCTCACCCCACCATAGCCAGAAGCTATTCCAGAATGCATGTTTATTTCCTCTGCAGAGGGAAGATAAATCATAGCAAACTGTGTGTGCACAGCTCAAGGGAGGTTTTCAATTGGCTTATGAAAAGAGTGTGAAATTCCTACAGGATGTCAAAACCTACTCTCCGTCCTTTGTGGTCTTACACTTTTAAATCAAGTGCACAGATCAAAAGCACTGATTGCAAAGCAGTCTGTTTTAGCTCATTAAACATTAATAAGTCTTTCAGAGCTGGAGATGCTTTTACTCCACACAGCACAGATAGAATCACATTTGTTTCCTGCAAATGTAGAAGAAAAGGCTTGAAACCTATACAGGACATACACCTGCAACAAAGTACAAAGAGAAAGTTTCTTTTCCCATTGGTAAAAAAGTGCTGTGTGTGTGTGTGTGTGTGTGTCTGGGTTGATGTTTACATTTAAATTGTGTCTCATGAGATGAAAGGAAGACGCGCCAGGAGTAATTGCTACCTGGAGCCAAATTTTATTTACTCACGTGTACAAGAACCATCAGTCAAATAAGCTTTGTGGGTCTAACCAACATGTTTGCTTAGAAGTGAGTGGGGTAAGAGCTTTTATGTTGTCTTTTGGTTCAGTAATGAAAATAATGTAAAGGAGCCTCCTAAAATTGTCTCCCACTCAGATCTCTATTTTGAGCTTTGGACTTTGATAACTTATTACCTACTCAACCCACTTCCGTGGGCATCTCACGATAAACTTCTTCCAAACAGAGTCAACAGTCAGGTCCACTGCAATCCTCTGGGTTCTCTCTGCCTCACTGCCACTCACCTAGATGTAGCCAGAATCACTTACCTTTTGAATTCCCCCACTAAGCACTTCAGTAGACTCTTAACCAAAATGGCTATCCCCCAAAGCAGATTGCATCTTGGTAATTAATCCCTTTGCTGAAAAACTGCCAAGGTTTTTCTGGTTCTTAGAATTGTTCATGAATGTCTTAACATGGTTTACAGGACACAGAAATGTTTGGTCTCAGTTGTCTTTGAAATCTCACGTTAATGCCTTTTCTACTCAGTGATCAGTGTCTTGAATATCTTGGATAGGCACCTCCCGGGCTTTGGTGTATTTGATGATCCTACTGACTGTCACCTTCCTTATCTGAGTAACTCCTCTCTTCCTTCAGGCTTCTCCTGAGATGTTACTTCTGAGGAAAGCACCCACCTTCCTTGATTAAAGCTTTCACTTATTTTCCAGTATCACTGCGGATTTGTGTCCCCTACTGTCTCTGAGCCCTAAGGGGAAGAATATTGCTTCCTTTAGTCACTGGTGTTTTTCTATCTTAGCTCCATCAATCCTTGGTGATACGTTATCAATTAATGTCTATAAAATGAATTAGCATCAAGTAAGATGGGATTATTTATGGGTTACAGCAAATGAATAAATGCATCTCAGTAACAGGCAGGGGCAGTGTAGGAGCCTCTGAAGGAGAAAGGAGCATGTCATTGACTTTGCCATAAAATTACTTTGTGGGGCTACCCCTTGCATCTAGAAGTCTACGAGGGAAAGTGAATCACAATGAACTCAAAGACAGGAACTCTTTTTTTTTTTTAATACTTTGCTTCCATGGTCCTCAAACTGAATGTGCCTTAGAGTAATCCTAGATTTAAAATGCAGATGTTTAAGGCTTCATCTCCAATTTATCCAATCAGAGTTTTCAGAGTTTACAGCTGTCCCAAGTATTGACATTTATTAAATGCACTTTATTTGTAGAGCAATTTTTGGTTCATGGTGAAATTGGGCAGAAGACACAGATTTCCCACATGCCCTATGCCTTGGCACATGCATAACACTTGTGTTTTTAAAAACCTCTATAAGCAAGTCACTTGGGGTCAGAAATCTGCTCATTGTTTTAATTAATTTCAGTGTTTTTAGCAATCTTGACTTTGTCTTAGATATCACACTAGTCTTAAATTCAGTTCCACTATGTCAGCCTCACAATCACCCTTTGAGGTATATGCTATAGTAATCTTTGATGAAGAAATCAAAGATCAAGGAGCTGTGCCCCCAAACTGCACATCAGGGAAAGGGTGGAGCTAAGCTTCATATCTAGATAAAGCCATACCCTCAACTTCTATGAGGAAAGGCATCATAAAGATAAGTTTCATAAGATTTTAATGGACAAGAGTTTTACCAGCAATTCAGTGTATGAGAATATATTAAATAGAGATACTAATATAAGCATACAAAGAAACATAAAAGAATATTATATTCCATTCATTTGCATTAGAGTGCCATTGAAAACAAGCAAAAAATCCATCAGAAGAGGACTGATTAAAATATAGTTTCATAGGATGTAGTGATGCATGCCTGTAATCCCAGCACTCTGGGAAGCTAAGGCAGGAGAATCATAAATTCAAGTCCAGATTG